AGGATTATTATAGGTTATATTTAAGGCTTTTTGTCTCTAACAATTATGTTCATCCTTTTTTATGAATTAGATATAATACCCTCTCTTCTTTGGAAATAGGGTTAATCATTATGTTTATGGATATTCTGTCTAAAAACTTTTTTGGGATTGACTTTTATATTATTTTGCATGCCACAGAAACAACTACATGTCCTTGTCAGTTGCATTATTGTTCTTGTAATGAATTCTCATCAGATTTTTCATTTTTGAAAATGATCATAGCAAGTTAACCAAAGCTTTTGTACGTCCTTTGCTATTTACAGATGGTTTTGTTTTATTTTCGTCTGATGTGTCCCTGAGAGCACTTGCAATCAGGTACAAGCTAGAGTGCTTCATCTTCAACAAAGAAAGGCTTTCTCAGAGCCCCATGGAAAATGATTTTGCCAAATACTGAGTACAGGCTTTTTTATGGTATAGCTGAAACGACTTTGAGACCATATCAATGAACTGAGTCAGGATTTCAAGAACTCTAGTTGACAAGTAAACGGGTTAGTGAGACCGCTGCTGCAAGGTCGAGTGGAACAAAAACTAATTACACAGACCTGAATGAAACTGATGAGGGATGATTGTGGATTTTGTTGAGAATATTACTGATGTTTTAAAGCAGAGAGACCCATAAATACAGAGAACAAACTGATGGTTGCCAGATGGGAGGGGTGCGGGGATGGGCAAAATGGGAGAAGAGGAGTGGGAGGTACAGGTTTCCAGTCGTAGAATGAATAAGTCATGGGAATAAAAGGCACAGCATAGGGAATGTAGTCGATGATTTTGTAATAGTGCTGGATGGTGACAGATGGCAGCTACGCTTGGGGGGAGCAAACTCCATAGGTTATATGGAGTTGTAGAATCACTAAGTTGGACACCTGAAACTAATGTAACATCATATGTTAACTATGTTTAATTAAAACAAAGACTACTGCTGATGTTTCAATGTTCTGATTTCTGGATGTATAAGGGACTCATTTCTCTTTTTTCTTATGCTATCTATAACTCACAATAATTTAGTAAACCAGGCTTCTTGCAAACAGAAATGACAC